ATCTCATAATGCTTTGAGACATTCTGTCTACGTCAGCAGGCAATTAAGTCAACCCTCATAGTGTTCTATAGGAGCAGAGCTGAGCTCACCCAGTTAGTGTTTGGTTTCATAGTCATTGCCCTGTGAGAAACTAAAACGACTGAGATTAACCAATAGAGACGCAAGGAACACTTTAAGCTAATTTAAGTGTTGAAACCTCTGCAAAGGGAAAATCTTTATTTCCTTAGCACTTAATATTTTTATTTCTTATGTGTGTGTGGGAGCAGTCTGTGCATGTCATGAGTGGTATGTGGTGGTCAGAGGACTACTTTCTGGGGTTGGTTCTTGCCTTCCAGCTTGTCGAGCCAGTGCATCTCTTGTTTCTGCTGTGCTGTGTATTCCGGCAGCAGGGCCGCCTAGTTTCCTGGCCACTCTCCTGTCTCCACCTCCCATCTCACCCTAGGAATGCTGGAATTGCAGATGCATGCCACCCCATCCTGCTTTTCCTGTGGGTTCTGTGAATCAAACTCAGGTTGAAGCTTGTGCAGCTAGTGCTTTTGCCCACTGACCCATCTCCGCTGCCTGCTTAGCATTTTAGAAATAACTCTGAGGGCTATAAGGAGAGATTTTCTGGCCATAGTTTACTGCTTTAGAATCTTTCAGTTGCCAAGGAGTTGTGCTCACCAGCACCTTCTAGAACATATTAATCCTTTAAATGAATCTAGGGTGGCAAAAACCTCTGTTAGCAAATACTGTTTCAACTTCAGAAATGTGCATACTTTCTTGTTTGGTTCTCAGTAAGTCTGTGAGATAGTAGGGCCAGGTCTCTGCATCTTTTCACCTCAGGTAAACGCTGAGCCTCCAAGGCCAAAGGATGGTCAGTGGAAGAGCTTACCCTAGAGACTGAGTCTCTAGGTGTGCTGGCTTTATGGCTACACCTGTAAGTGTTCTCTCTCAGTTGTCGAGATCTCCTCAAAGAGAAGTGGGAATGTTGCTAAGATTCTATTCACTACCCCCCTCACTTCAACTTTGATATTTCAAGGTCTAGGCTGGTCCCCCAGCCCCTCCTGGAAGTGCACCAAAGCCAAGTGGAGGATGTTCTTTGTGCAAAGTGAGCAATGTGCATCACTGGGTTTTGTTCCCCTGAATAGCTGTTCTTTTCTGGTGAGATTTGTAGTTGTTCTGGTACCCTTTTAAGGGAAGTGTAATTATATTCTTTGCCTTTAGCAAAGTAACTGCTCAGTCTTTGGAACTGATGTTGAATTGTTCCCCTGACTCATGCCTGGAGCTCACAAACTCCTGACAGTTGCTGTAGAAACGGTATCTGGCAGCTGTGACATGGTTGGAGCTTTGTGTACCTAGAAAATTTCTTTTGTAGGCCTTGGTAAATTAACATTTCAAAAGGTGCTCATTATATAGTAGGTCATTGGTTTTAAAAATAAAGTAACTTTTATTTACCACCT